ATGGTTTCCTACCACATTCTCTTAAAAAAAAAAAAAAAACTTGGTGACTGTGGCATTGATGCCTACAAAGTCAGATGGGTGGCAAATTGGTTCTATGGTTGGACCCAGAGAGTGGTGGTAGACGGGTAATTTTTGACCTGGAGGGATGTGGGCAGTGGAGTCCCCCGAGGCTTAGTCCTGGGGCCTGTACTGTTCAACATCTTTATCAGCGATCGGGATGTGGGTGTGGAAAGCACACTGTCCAAATTTGCTGACAAAACCAAGTTGTGGGGCAAGGTGGACACACTGTGGGGGGGAGGGACAGAATCCAGCTGGACCTAGACAGGTTACAGAGGTGGGCAGATAAGAATAGGATGGAATTCAATGCAGACGAGTGCAAGGTGCTGCATCTAGGGAGAAGGAACCAGCAACACACCTATAAGCTGTGGATCACCCTTCTTGTCAACATGGTGGCAGATGGAGATCTTGGAGTCATTGATGACCCCAGGATGAACATGAGCCACCAATGTGAGGAAGCGGTCAATAAGGCTAACTGCACCTTGTTGTGCATCACAAGCAGGTCCAGGGAGGTGATTCTTCCCCTCTATGCAGCATTGGTCAGACCACAGTTGGACTACTGCGTCCAGTTCTGGGCGCTGCACTTCAAGAGAGATGTGGCTAACCTTGAGAGGGTCCAGAGGAGGGCCACTCACATGGTCAAGGGGCAGTGGGGCAGGTCCTATGAAGAGAGGCTATAGGGCCTGAACCTATTCAGCCTCCACACAAGACGGTGAGAGGGGATTTGCTGGCCATTTACAAACTCACCAGGGGGGACCAGTGGGAATTGGGGGAGGGCTCTATTCCCCCGGGCACCACCCACGGTTACTAGAAATAACGGCCACAAATTGTTAGAGAGCAGATTCAGACTGGACATCAGGAGACATTACTTTATGGTTAGGGCTGCCAGGCTCTGCAATGGGCTCCCAAGTGAGGTGGTGTTCTCTCCTACCCTGGGGATCTTCAAGAGAAGGCTGGACAGATATTCAGCTGGAGTGATGTGATCCTGGCACCTGTTCCTGCCCAGGGCAGGAAGTCAGACTTGACTATCTGTTTAGGTCCCTTGCAACCCTAAGTACTATGATGCCATGATGGCTTTCTGGTACCCCAAAATATGTTATAGAGAAGCCTGACCACTTATGGAGCTTAGGATTCTCTGAGGGGGTTTCTAATATTTTTGGTAGTCATGTTGTAGGCACTATGGTTTATGAAATATGCAACAGGCAAGGATTTTTATGGGTGATATATTTTATTGAACCAACTGTATAGCTGAAAGGAAAGTAGGAAGATTACTTGGTACCCCAAATCTTGTCTACCTCCCTCCTAAATATACAGTTGGTCCAATAGGATATCACCCACAAAAGTCTTTGCCCCTCTCATAATATTTTCTTCTTTCAGTTTTTTCTGTTTCAGGTAGAACAGAACGAGAGAATCACAACTGGTGTTAATACACTTCTGTTCTTTTAACATTTATCTAGCTAAAATTAGCTTTCCTGTGTTTGCACTTTGCAACATAGCCTTTATGATACAGCCAAGTCATTATGTTTTGTTTACATTTTTCTTTACAAAACTATTGTAGTTTTGCATAATGGAAAGCATCCTGGATGATTCACTTTTAGTTCAGTTTCCCACCTGGGAACTTCACAGTGATACTACTATAGTGTATGCAAGTAAATATGTAGATAAAAGATTATATCTGACCAATGCAGTGATATTATCTATGCATTTCTATTAATGATGTTTTTGGAGGGGAAAGGTTTTAATCAAAATGGCTCTATGGATATAGATATTAATGTAGCTATTCTCTGCTTGTGTTAATAGTGCATGCACATAAGTTGAGTGGTTCTTTTGTATTGCCCTAGATTTGCTGTAAAAGGTATTACTGTAATTACGATTTTTGTGATGCATTATTATTTAGAAGTGCTTTATTCACAATCATCAGACATGAAATTAGGAGGGAATTTCCCCATGACATTGGCAGAGACTTTGTTGTGTATTTTGTTCTCTTTTCCTTCCTGTGAAGTGCTGAGCTGGGATAATCTTTTTAGGATTGAGCTTCTCCTAGTCCATTAATTTTAATGCAGTTGCCTGGGATTAGTGCATTTTAGTGTTGCCCATCTCTTTAAACATTCACTTACTTAAATCAGAAATGTATATGCCTAACTATAAAAATGCTTCTGTTTTTATCTTTTAAAATTTATGGTAATGTATTTTAAATAATTTAGCTTCCTTTTTTTCTTGTTTTGGATTCCCTATAAGGATGGGGAAGCTGCAAAAGATTCAGAGAATAATAATCTTAACAGCAATAATAATGTTTGCTGTTGTGTAGTTGTACTTAAAAGTTCAGAGATTTATCTGTCTACACTTTGTCCATTCCATGTGGAGCTACCAAATTGAATAGGAAATCTCACTAGAAATTGCCTCTCTTGTGGAATTCTGCTACTTCTCCCAATAGGGGAAGATACTTTAAAAAAAAAAAAAAAATACAACAGCTAGGAGTCTTGCGATTTTTAAATCTCTGAAAATTGGACTCGGCTCTGGGTGATGGTCCCAGTTAACATTAGTTTGGGCTGTTTTTTAACTTAGGAATTCATGTGGTGGTAGTAGATTATGTTTTAAACAGTTCACCCTGTCACAGGGCGGGGCGCAGGGGCAACCATGATCTCCCCTAGTGCCCCTACCGCGCCAAGTTGGGTCTTGAACGCACCCTCTTTCTCTCCCGCCACGTCTTGGTTTTATATGTAGTTTTATATGGGAGGCTGCCTTCTGTCCGCTTGGACGCAGTGCTCTCGTACTGGCCCCAACTCTGTAAGGAGTACCCTGGTGCGTCTCAGCCTCTCAGGCTACGCGTGCCTCCAACCTCCCCTGTAGCACGCCCCAAGCCTTGCTGGTGTACCGGACGTTCTTTTGTCTCTAGGTGCACTCTAAGTAGGCACCCTCATACAGGGACCTCTCTGATGAGGGCCCCCTCTGAGCTGTCTAATGTGTATGCGCCCTCTCTGGGCTTTCTCTCCTGCACGCCCTGCCCTCTCCGGGCTCTGTCCCTTGTGCGCACCCTCTATACGTGCAGTCACCCCACTCGGGCTTGTACTGGCGCGCTCGCCTGGCACCCTGTTGTTCTTGGCGCAAGCCCTGTCTCGCCCTTTCCGGGCTTCTATTTGTGTGATCACCCTCCTTCAGGCTCCTAACCACACGCTCGCCCTGCCTCGGGCCTCCAACCATGCACTCGCCCTACTGGGGCCTCGTTCGCGCTTCACGCGCTCTCCCGCCCGCGCTGGGGGCCTCGTTCACGCTTCACGCACTCTCCCGCCCACGCTGGGGGCCTCGTTCACGCTTCACGCGCTCTCCCGCCCGCGCTGGGGGCCTCGTAAAATACCACCCCGCAGGGCCGGGATCACCAGGAACCCCCACACTATTGGGTAGCTCCCCTGAAATTATCCCGACAGCCACCCCCACTGGGGTTGGGGATGGGATACCCCACACAGCACTCTCTACCACGCTACTTATCCTGATAATCACCCCCACTGAGGTTGGGGTCGGGACACCCCACACAGCGCTCTCTACCGCACTACTTATCCCAATAGTCACCCCACTGAGGTTGGGGATGGGACACCCCTCACAGCGCTCTCTACTGTGCTACTTATCCCGATAGTCACCCCCACTGGGGTTGGGGTCGGGACACCCCACACAGCGCTCTCTACCATGCTGGGAGCACCCCCACCTTACTGGGGAGCTCCTACTGAGGCCTCCTCCTTCCCCTTATAGCCTCACCCAGTCCTCTGGTAGTATAACAACAAAACCAAAGCCTTCGCCTCTGGGGCTACAACAACTTCCAAAACCACAACAGAACGCAGAGCCTCTCAGCTGTAACATAAACCTTAAGCCGACCTGGCTAACCTTTCGTCATATTCCTGTCAGGGTGCTCTACACCCTGTATCCGCATGCTGGCGCTCAGACTGCTCTGCTCCTCAGCAGAGCTCCTGCCACTCAGGCTGCCAGAGGGGAACTGGGCTCGGGCCTCAGCCTTGTGTGTTTATATAGGCCAGGCCCAGCCCCCTGGCGGTCAGCTGACCCACTCAGTTGCTTAGGCAACCCCCGGCTGTTCTGCCCTATTGATTGGCAGCTAAGTCTGCATCGCCATTACTAGTAGCAAGCACCCTAGTGCTCCGGTTCACACCCATTTGTCATATGCTTACTGAAAGCATGATGTCTTGAAATAAAGATGCAATGCCATCTGGTGTTTAAAACCGAAGGCATGGAAGTAGAGATGGTTCAACTTTTAAGTATTTTAAAAAACGGACAACTCCCTCCACCTGCCCTGCCCCCACCAAGACAAAACAAAACAAAAAAAACAGCCAAAAGTAGGAGTAACAATTTGGACTGACTGGCTCTGGTGTGACCATATTTCCTTGATTCTAAAAGGAAAACTAGGTTACTTGGACAAAATATACATTTGTTAGGACTATGTTTAAAAAAAAATTATAACAATATTTTCTTTTTGAGCAAATAGGAACTATGCAAGGTGACCAATTTAAATATAAAGCCTTTTGCTTGTTTCTTCTTTTAGGTGGACGAGGGGAAGATGGTAGCCCTGTTATCACATTTCCAGACTACCCAGCTTTCAGTGAGATCCCAGAGAGAGAGTTTCAAAATGTTCTGACCTATCTCACAAGCATTCCAAGGTAGGTGCCTGCAGAAAACAGCTATGTCTGGTATCTCAGAATCATAGACAAGTAAGGCTGGAAAGGACCTCCAGAAGTCATCTAGTCCAACCCCCTATCTGTAGCAGGATCATCCCTATGCAAACCATCCTATACAATCCATATTCTGAACTCTACATAAGACTGCCATTAACTCTAACCTACCACAGGCACAGCACTAGAACTACAGCAGCAAACATCCTGCTTCTGTGAAATGTCAACATATGCTCAAGAGATCCTGGATAGAAAGCCATGCCCCCGGCTACAGAGGAAGGCAAAATCCCCCACACTCTATAACAATCTGCCCACAGAATAAAATTCCTTCCTGATCCCAGATATAGTAATCGGTCTGACTGAGTGGAGGGGCAAGACCCTCTAGCCAGGAACCTCCAGCTTTGGTTCCAGCAGGAACATTAGCATTCCTCAGTTAAGGTCTCCAGTCTTGGCTGTAGCCAAAACCCAGTGCCTCTGAGAGAGGCTTAAAAACACCCTGACATATGTAACAGAAAGGGGGTTGGGAGATAGAGGGGCAACCAGCAAAGCCCAAAAGACTAGCATGTACCCTTAATAGAACATAAGCATAGCTACACCTAGACCACCCCTGACCAGTGGTGGTCCTGCCTCTTCTTGAACACCTCCAGCGAGTCCACAACTTCCTTAGGCAGTCTATTCCACTGCCTTACTATTCTAACAGTGAAGTTTTTTCTAGGTGTCCAATCTAAACTCACTTTGCTACAACTTCAAGCCACTGGTCTATGTCCTCCTCTCCACAGCAGGAGAGAAAAAGTGCTTTCCCACTATTTTATGGCAGCTCTTCAAGTATTTGGTTAAGGTCCCATCATACTGCTTATGGGACTCTTCTTAGCTTTCACTTGAAAACACACATAGACTTGAGAAAGTGTTCTAGTTCCTGATTTAATTCATCCTTTATTGCATTCTGTTTGGTTATATTGAAGGGTATAATAAATCCTCCAAAACGTTGGATGGTGAGCTTGGTCTACTGGTAATAAACTTAACTAAGAGAAGTCTATAGGTAACATTTATCACAGTCTGGAAACTCTTACAGGAGGAACAGACAAAGGTGTAATGAAATCCAATGGCTCTAAGTGGAAGCTAGCCCAAGTCAAACTACAGAAGCCACACACAAGCCAGTTTAAGTGATCAGAAGCTGGCTTAAACCTGTAATAGAACATAAGTTCAGTGCACACAAATCAGTTTCAAAATGGCTCAAACCAGTTTGAGAGAAACTGGGTTGAATATAGTATCAAAGTTAACTGATTGAGCTCAAGCTGGTTTATGGAACTTCTGCCCCATACCCCTTCCTGGTTTAAGCTAAACCAGAGTCCCCCAGAATACTCTGTAGCCTTAAATGGAACTGTGCTCTCTGCTTCAGACAGCAGGGCTAGCCCTGCCCCTGTACTCACTAGGTGGAGCAGGAGCTGGGGTGTGGCCAGATGCTGCCCCCCTGCCAAGGTTAAGGGGACAGTTAAGAGGTTTATTTTCCCCCCTCCCTCCCCTGTCCCACCAGCACAGACCTGCCAGGCATTTCTCTGCTGACTGCTTCAGCGGTGGGAGCCCATAGCCAGCCTCAGCAATAGCC